AGATCTTAGTAATAATCAAGTTTCTTTTGACGGAATCAAAGTGTTATCAGAAACACTTTATACGAATATAGCATTAACTTCTTTGAATCTTAGGGGCAATTCTCTCACATATGAAGCAGTAAAATCTTTAGCTGATGCTCTTTACGAAAATACTACTTTAATTGATTTAAATCTTTCTGATAATAAGCTTACCTTTAAAGAAGGACAAGCAGAAGTTCTTTATAAAAATACCACATTAACTTCTTTGAACCTTAGTAATAATCTACTTGATTATGGCGGAGTAAAAGTATTAGTAGAAGCTCTTTACAAAAACACTGCCTTAATTGAATTAAATGTTCGTTATAATAAAATTAGCTTTGAGGAATGCAAAATGTTAGAAAAAATTCTTTACAAACATAATCCCATAATTTCATTAAAGTTTATCCCATCTTGATACATATTAAAAATTATCATTAATTTCTATAAGCCCATAATTTCATTAAAGTTTATGCAAAATTCTAAAATTTGAAACTTAGAATTTATATTTAATAATAAAACAAAACATTATATTAATTTAAAACAAATAATTAACAATTGACATAATCTTATTACATAACTGTTGATTATTATTCATTTTACATTTTATTAATTGAAATGCATCATATTTAACGGTTTAATAAATTCTCAAGAAAGCGCATGCTATTATTTTCCTAGATGTTGAAATTATGTTTTGTATTAATACCAAAGCAATAAGCCAGAGGTTTTCTACCATTTTTTTATTACATATTTTTGCAAAATTATGCATGTTTGCCAAAGAAATTCTTTTATACGGTGGGTAGTACATAAATTACGCGTGTGGATAGACATGAGTTTCAAAATTTGCCGGCAAATAAATTAGGACTGAGATGATTTTATTGAAAATTTAGCAGACATGCGATAAAGAAGAGAGTAAATGACCGTGTTGGCTAGATGTCAATGATATCTCGGGAAGAAATAATCATAATTCGCTGGGAGTTGCGTAGCCGATGGGGCTATTCCCTGCCTGTCGAAGCAAACCGGCTGTAAATGAAAACATGTAAGTAATGAAATGATAGAATCAATGTCATCATCTTGGAACGAACTACCCCAACGACACTCCGAATAATGGTTAAATTGATTTTACTTAAGGCAACTTGAAATAATATCATTATCAATTTAATTTTAGCAACATATAAATTTGAATTTTACAGGTTAAATTTATTACATTTCAATAGGTGACACGGTTTCATTTTATATAAATAAAACATACTATAGCTGTTACTGAACTTGGCATATTTAAGGGAAATTGTTAATTCTTCGATAGCAATTATCAAGACATCATTTCTCAAAAGCAGCTTCAAATCTTCACCAAATTCTTTGATTTTTTGTATATAATATATCCGTCATTTACACCTATTGTGTTTTTATTTATTTGAATCATCAAAAATCTTTAAAAGAGTTTTTCCACTTGAAATCTATTAATGATGTTATCTGGTTTCATTGAAGATTAACAACACGTGCGCTTTGCGTACATAATTAAAATTTTTAAATTTATATATGCTTTAAGTTTAATGTGCGCTATATCTATTGACAAAAAATGAATCTATATATATTAGAGCTATTTGTTTTTCGTACATTTAAAAAATTTGCGTGCGCTGCAGCACGCCAGGACTTATTTATAATGTGCAGCCCGCCCATGAAACTATGTAAAATAAAAATGATTATAACTAACCATAAAAAATTTTTTAAAATTAATCTTTAAGCTTTATATTATATCATCACAGCAAGATTTTTAGTTATTAGAATTAAAGTAACATATTAACAATATACTTAAAGTTTTGGCTATTAATGTAAATTTTTTAAAGTTCTGTCTATATAGATTAGCTTAAAGGTTAAAAAATAAAGAAAATACAAAAAATAAAAATAATCTATAAACCTTTCTTGGAACATTAACAAAAATATCAGAAAAGCAATTATATAAATATATCTATTTTAATACCAGCCCATAATTCTAATACCAAACTAGCTCCAACCCTAATTTTAATTAAAACTTTGAAAAATTACGTGGGTACATGGCTTTAGCATTTTCTAAATTTGATTTTATTATTAGTAAGATGATTGAAACAGGCCAAAATTTATAAAAAATTTGTTTGCTCATAATATTAAAAAAAAAACAAGATTTATAAAGAAGCCATGTAAAGATTGCTGTTTATGTATTTTCTATTTATATTTATAACAAGTTATTTTAAAGTATTTCTAAAGTTGCTAATTTGGTGGTTTCTGCAATGAACAGCCTTAGATCTTTTTTAGTCTTGTATACTAAATACTAAGTTCTTTTATTTTTTATTGAAAATAGGATTTAGGCCTTAGTACTAAATTTAAACATCATCCGATTTCAGCACATCCCTGACATTTAATATTCGAATTTTAGATATTTAATAAAATTTTATAACTATTAGTTAATCAATAATTGTGCTATAAATATTATGTAAATAAAAAAATTTAACATAATATCAAATAATTTTAAATATTATAAATCCAATTTAAAAAATACAATTTAAATTATCAAATATAAATAAAATTTATTATTTGTTTATATACCAAAGTATTTAAGATTTAGTCATATCAAACTCAATTTGAGCAGAATCCGCTTGCGACAAATCTAAATAAAAATATATTTTAAATAAATATACATAATTCTATTAACATATTAGTTGAAAATAAATAAATACTTTTAATCTCATTTGAAATTAATTTTGTGCTAATAAGTTTGCTAGTGTATATTTCATCAGGATGCTTCGGTATTTTCAATGATTTAACAATTTTATCAGCATCTAAGAATTGCTTTATAATTTTATTATCATCAGAACTATTTAAATTACCAAGCTAATCTCCAATTTTATCATAAACACCCCAAGCATCAGGCCGTTTTTGTGGATTAGAATCCATACATTGCTTTGCCAATTCAACATAACAGATAGGTCTCAGGGGTAAATTCTGGTCACAATCCTTTAAAAATATCTGCACCAAGTTTAGCATTAAATTTACGCCAATCAAAAGGTCTCTGTCCAGTTGACATTTCTGACATAATAACACCAAACCCTGCTGATTGTGTAAATCTTTCTCTAACAAAACTTCAGGAACCACATAGGGCATAACTCCATAAATATCACCTTCTGAATCACAATCGTCTTCTTTTTTAGACAATCCTAAATCGGCAACATAAGATGTTTGGTCTTGCAAAATGTTACCACTATGAAAATCAGCATGGATGTATCCTGCTTCATGAATATTAATTAAATTATCTGAAATTCTTTAAGCATCTGCAATTTATTATTCCATATAAATTCAACAAAATTTTTTCTTAAATATTTATGAAGACTCCTGTTATTAGCATACTGAAATACCATTAAGTTTCATTTGTTTCTGTATGTTATAGTTATTGTATGGGTCTGACGTAACAACCCATGCATCACTTAATACTTTAATTAAAATTAAAAAAAAATTAAGAATTTTTAATGATTTAAAATTGATAACACACTCTTTCTTGTTAAAATATCAAACAATTTACAAGAAGAAGTACAACAATTATCTAACTTTTCAAAAGTTACAAACACTGATAAAAACACTGAAAAATGGCTTCGTCATATAACCTGTTATATAAAAGAAAATAATATTCAAAAAAAACCTAAACCAAATTGACAATAGAGATGAACTTGATGAATTTCTTAGTTTGTTTATTGTATGGTTAAAGTGAAAAGATGGAACACCCTTAAAAGTAGAGTCAGTTTATAACTGTTATACGGCTTTGGCACATTATTTAAGAGAACATAGTGCAATTGGAAGGGAGTATATTTATGTGATAAATATTACTTTCCTAAAGCTTTAAAATGCCTTAATAGAAAAAATGCGCTTATTACAAATGGATGGATATGGTGATACAAATTCAAGTGATGTCCTAACATCTGATGAAATTACTGCTTGTTTGAATTATAATTACCTTTTAATTACTAATAATGAAGGATTAACAAGGCGAATTTTTTTTGGTTATCTTTATTATGTAGCCTTCGTGGAGGAGACACAAGTAATTTGCAATATCATGATGTTGAATCTCGAGCTGATGGTGGGTTACAACTATAACTTAGAAAGGAAAAAAATAATCAGGGTGGAGTTTTTCAATGTAGATGATATGGTCATACTACTACAAGTACTGTTCCAATCCCTCCTAATAATAATGAAAATCAATTTACACCAATAAAAGATATAATTTTATACTTATCTAAACGTCCTGCCAAATATCAAGATTCAGATCCACTTTTTTTAGAATGTGTTAGAAAAGCATCTAATATTTTATTTTGTTGTATAAATTTAACTTCTAACTTTAAATTTTTTATACAATTTTATATACATATATACACATTAGATATCAAAAATGGAATTTGGTACAAACCTTCACAAATAGGTGCAAACAAACTTAAAAAAATGTTACACCAAATTGCTATTAATACCAGTATTAATCTTGTTGATCATAAGATCACAAACCATAGTGCAAGACGAACTGCTATTATGCTTCTAAAAGCATCTAATACACCTGAAGATGAATTAATGGCCTTTTTAGGTCACTGATCGTGTGAGAGTATTAGGTCTTATAGTAAACCTATAGATGATCAATGGTTAAACACTGTTGCATCACTTATACCATTTGCAACAATCAAAGAAGATCTAGAAGAGTATTATAATTACTCTAAAGAATCTTATATTATATATGAATCAGAAGAAGATAATTCAGATACTGGTAAAATTTAAATTAAATATATTATACGTATTAAGATTTTTATATTTTTAATTATGTATATCTAAATCTATAGAAATGACAATATCTAACTCAAATTCAAGAATATTAGAATGTAGTATTACATATTTATTATTGTTAAATAAAACTACTAAATTAATTATTTATCTGTTGTTATATATTATTTTTAGAAATTTCTGTAACATCTACCATGGCTAGTTCTGAATCTGAAATAGAAGTAACAGCAATCTCTAATAATAGTATTATTAATGATGTTCTACAACATAAATTACCCAAAATTCGCAAAACTATAAAACAGTCACAATCAAAATCAACCAGTTTTGCACCTTTTAAACCACTATTCAAGAAAGCAAAGATTTCAAGTTCTAAATACCAGCAATCTAATTTGCAACAAAATCAATTTTATAACACTCAGAAAAATTGATTATACAACACCTAAGAAAATTGATCATATAACACTCAAGAAAATTAATCATATAATGCTCAAGGAAATCAATCATATAATGTTCAAGAAAATCAATTATATAAACTAGGGGATCATTCAAATACTGCACAAAACTATATTCGACCTAGAAATGCTCTTGAATTTGTTACCAACAATATTATACTTCAAATCCCACTTATTGACAAACCCTTGACTATAAATTTAAATTATACATTTGGTAAATAATATAATTCATATTTGCAGAATTTTTTTCTTTCATATAAAATTTTTTTTTACATATTAGATATATTTGTTGAATAAATAAGATCTTATTATGCATTGCTAATTAATCTAATATACAATTTTACATCTGATTACAAATATTAAAAGTAAATACTAACTGATTAAATATAAATAACTAAATCAGAACACTTTTATTATGAAAGTGTTTCGATTTAGTTATTTTTTTAAACATGTACTGTAAATGAGTGAAAAAAGCATGGGTTGTTATATAAGACCCATACAATAATTTGAGTTAATCCATATATTTCAATCTGATCATTAGCGAAATAATTTAATGCACATATCATAAGAGTATTAAACTTAAGGTTTAACAATAAATTAGTTCAATAGAATACTAGACAAATTATAAAAGCAATTTAATTTTTTTTTTTTTTAATATTAAGGTGACCACTTGGGGGTCTGGCATGTTTATTAACTTTGGCTGCGAATGCCAAGGCAGCCACTGAACTATCTCTGACTTTGTTACATTAACGAGGGTACATTCTAGTTATATCTGCACCTTTTGAGCGCCTAATTAAGTAGTTCCCTATTACTAAGTACTATACTAGATGCCGTATCTATAACCCACTATTACTTGAGTTACCTAATTAAACCCTCTGATCAACTTAGCGCTGTCAGATATTCTCTCCAAAGAGAAATTGACGCTAAAGCCCCTTAGGACTAATTTATCTTCGTGGTAAACCTACTAGAGCGGTCCATGTCTCACAAACATGTATCACCTAGGTTTTTCAATAACTTATGCCTAGGCTGGGACCAAGCACTTGCGGTATTTCTCCACTACCATTACCTACTCCTTGCCCTTACAAAGTTCACTCTACCCCAGCTCTTACTCATCTAATCAGAAACCCTTCTACTGTTTCACCAAACTTCCAATCCAGATAGCCCAGTTTGGTTCACAAGTTACGTTATCTGCTTTCTTACTAGCTTAACCCAGATACCGGCCTGTGCTCTTTTCCTCTGGTCAATTTCGGTGGCCTGGTTAGTATAGTGCTCACCAAATACCCGGTCCTCGTCTGAATCCACAGCTTATTGGTTTTCTTCTCAAACTTTCCAGAGCTGTCGAAAGTAGTGCTACCTCTCTACTCGGAACTTGCCAAGTAGATTTTTATTCAGAACAACGTTCAACGGATTTACACAGGTACTGAGGACTTATCGTAGGTTTACACTGCCTTTTATTGGTTTGTATCCATTTGTATAACTTCTCTATTACATAAATGCCTCAAGATATTCCAAGTCTGTACTACTACCCCTGATTAGAGCTTGCTAGATAAGCTGTCTGTTAGGTGATCATTACTCCTTGCACCTATTTGGTCTGACTGTTATTACAGAATATATACCTCAACACCCAAATAGTCATCAATACACAGAAGAATTCGATTTTCGTCATTGGTGGGAATTGAACTCTGAATGTGCCACTTGGAGGGTGACAACTTGACCACTTCACTAAGTCGCCACACCTCTATAAAAGCAATTTAATTAACTTACCTCTTTTAAAAAATCACTATTGTTTTCCTTAGAACTAGCCAACATCTTGAGTGCAACGGTGCTGAATGGTTTATATAATCTTTTATAATTATAGTAATCATTATCACTGTTATTAGCTTTTTTAAATTTTTCAATTTTTCGTATGCCATCCAACCAGATTGCTAAATATACAGAGCCAAATCCACCTTCAGATAATTTATTAAATGGAATCCATTCAATTACAACTTAATATGCATGGGCTCTAAGTTGAAATTCCTTCACATAACTATCAATATCCTTATTTCTACTTGTTCACCTTGTTGCTATATCAGGGTCGCATGATAGACACCATGCTGGTTATGTGTTATCATCATTACAATGCATATATTTCCATATTTAGAGTTGCTTTATAAAATTAAATTGTATCTTAGTTTATCACAAATGCTATTTTAAACTTTACTTATCATATTTACACAAAATAACACATATTTGCATGTTATTTCGAGGTGATGTGCATTATTTTGAGTACACGCGTTATTTGAGTACGCACATAGGCGTCATTTCGAGATATAAGATACACCCTAATCACTGATAGTAAATATCAAGATGATTTATTAACATTAATATATGGAGCATGCGTTATTTCAATATGCACATAGGTGTTATTTTGAAACCAGCTATGCTATTTTAAGGAAATGTGATTTTCAAAATAATGCCTATGTGCATTATTTTGTATAAATATAGTACTGACTAAATTAATGTGAATAAGGAATGATTTTTGTATATCAGTTTTGTGTAATATTATGTACATCAATTTTTTTTGACTAATAAAATCAAATAAAATCATTGGCATCTAAAATGATAAAAAAAATAATGAGATTTTATTTATCAAAAAAATTTGATGTATGTAAGGTTACAAGAAACTGATGTACAAAAATCATTTCTCTACATTCAAATACTTTTTTGTATTAAAATTCTTACAATCTCCCTACTATAGAAAACCTCAATATTTACTATCCTCACCTTTATAATACATCAGCATGTTCTTGATGCTCCAGTTTTGAAAATACTCATCACCTTCTTATTTATCCAAATAATAATATTAATCTTCTTTACTAACTTATTAACATAATTCAAACAACTTTAACAGTTCTTCAAATTTATAACAATTTTTTAAATATACTTCTTAATATTCTATTATATTTCACTACCAACTCTTCAAACACATATTATCTTTCTATACTATATGCAATTACTGGTACCTTTTCATCTACTATATACAATAATATCAAAATATTATTTAACAAACAAACCAACACATTCTCATTAATTTCTCTAATAATTTTTTATCTTGGTACTGTCAAGAGATATAATTTATTCATAATATTTATCAACATCAATAAGAACTCTTTTGAAATATTACTGTCAAAACTAAATATACAAAATTTTTCTTTTCTAATATATTTACACCTTCAAATAATTTTTAACAATAATACAACCTCTAGACATTAATCTTTTTATCAATAAATGGCTATTACAAGGATATGTTTTAACTGCATGCTTAACTTAATGCTATGACTATTAATTTAGGTTTTCCTCCAATCTATCCTAGCTAAAAATTAGTTTAAAATAATTAACTATAACATTTTATAGAAAATAGGAGGTGTAATATCATATTGGGTGCCTTATGTAATACAAATATAGTTTAAAAATCTTTAGGTTTAGAATTATTTTTCTATTTGTAATAAAGTTTCACTTTGATATTATATAAATAAATAAATAAAAAATATATATATAAAATATATTTCATATATAATAAATTTAATTAAGTATAGATGCAAATCACTAACTCTTCCCAACGATCACTTGTACCAAATTTTTCTTAAAAACAATTGCTATTTTCTCAAAATT